AAGCAGACCGAGCATCACAAGTCAGCTCTCGGGTCATTTTCTGCACACAACCTTACTCCCAACAAGGAAAGTCACATGTTATCTTAAGCTACTGATACCTGTATCTCGCGTACAAAAGGCTGCGTGTACAACCTCACCGACTGGTAACAGCGCAAGCCACCTGAACAAGCGCGTGCCTTATCCTCTGCAGGTCACGCAAAACAGTCTGTAATGGGAGGTGGGATCTGGATATCGCAACTTTCTTTTTAGAGGCTGCAATCTGAAGCAAAAGTCTATATACTGTGGCAATTACTGTAAAACTGATAATTCCACGGGTATTTCAAAATCTGTAAAATGGGAAGTTCCTGCATCCTACAGCTTGTGTTAACTACTGAAGAACACGACATCACCAGAAAAAGTACTAACAACTTGCTTAAACAGTATATAGTGTTATTAGTGGAGTTCAGTACTGCTAATTACTAGATTCCAGATGTAAATCACACAAATCCTGTTAGAGTGAAAAGACTTTAAATGTTACTATTTCAAAAGCAGTCTAAATTTAAAAGATTTAGAGAACAACTCTTAATTGTCATCCTGTGATTAGTTCTACCAAACTCACTAGGTACCCTTTATGCTTTAAGAAAGCAGTTGAATAGTGTCTAGACCAATACAGACATACTGGATAGCCTCAATGAGTCTGCATTTACATTTGCCATTTTCTACCTGGAGAAATAACTCCGCACACAACACAAATGCAATTACTGAAGGTGATCATTTTCAACTGAAGTCATACAGTGAGTACATACAGCGTACAACGTTCATTCAGAAGCACGTGTTAAAGCTAACTTTCATTTCTAAGCCTGCAAAATACACTAATTAAAATGTTTTTATTAATATTTAATCATTTTCATTGAGAATACGCAGAAAAATTCTAGCAGCTTCATCGCATCAGAAATGCCTGTCCTGCAAACATTTGCTGAGTTAGCCATGTGTATGTGCAAGTGTTTATGTAGCAAGACCGTTTTCACAAACAACTAGCTTAAGTAAAATTTCAAAAAATCTGTTGTCTCCCAATACTTCTACAAAAAACAAACCATTACACATCGTTTAGTTCTCTCAGCAGCCATAAAGTTGCTGACTATTTTTGAACAATCAAACTTAAGAGTCTTCTTTTTTTTAATGCTTGCTAAAACCGAGATGCTCTTCACTTAAAGCAAGCTCTATTAGTTAACCAGGAAAAAGCAGGAGAGTTCCAGAGGAAGCAGCAGTAAGCAACAATTTACCTGTGCCCTGCACTTCAACAGCCTTATTTCTCTTCTCATGTTTTCAAACACCCTGGCCCCGATGCCTTTTCTGCTCTCTGTAACTGCCAGCTGAGAGAGACTCCTCCAGCAGCAGAGCTGGTTCCAAGCCAGGCATCCAGCAAGGACTGATCACTGAACTCGTGCCGCAGCTTTTCTCAGCTGGGCACTAATTTCAGCCTCTTCCCTACCATGCATATGTATACTCCATCCAGATTTTTCATAACTCATAGAAATTTAATCAACTTTGCTATCTCCATCAATTTTTAGCTGGAATGGATCAGCAATTCAGAAAGTTTGCAGTGCAACACACAGGAAAAGGGGAAGAGAGGAGAACTGGACTGGCAGGTGGAACTGTATACACTTCATTTTATTAGGAAACAAGGCTAAAATACGTTAATTAGACAAATAAGAATCTGTGATGATTAATGAACTACACTTTGAAGCAGCACAAAGAGGTTGCAAAAAACAGTAACCCCACAAGTCACACACATTCAGCTGATTTCTATATATAAACTTAATTTTTAGCATTTAACTCCTCATTTATGTAACAAATACAGAAATAAAATCTCTTTGGTAAGACACCACTGTATTAACAGCTATTTTAAATGGTAACACCGCATATGATTTCAACTCAAAACCAGATTAGGGCTACTTACAAATTTAATCACAAAATAAAACAACATACATTCTTCCATCATTAAAATATTTCCATTTTATTTTACTATAATAGAAACAATATTTAGCTTTCTGTCAAAAGCAAATGTCTTTAAGGCAAGCAGTTCTGTCAGCAGCTGGATGTGAACAGGCCATCATGTGTGAACACCAACAAGCATTTTAACTGTAGCAGACCTTTGGACTCCTTGCCAGTGGAAAGGAGTACACTGACTACTTTCAAACTACGTTATATAAATAATCATTTTATGAACAAAAATATAATTTGTGAAATCATTATAAAGTAGGTATGTCTGCTTTACAAATTCATTGTAATTCCACAAGTTGAAGCTGTCATTCCACACAACTGAGAACGCATACTCAAGGTATCTTCTGCAGAAGATCACACATATCTTCATAAATATCAAGGGATTTGTTTGTGGGTTTTTTTTGTTTTGTTTGTTTTAAATTACAGTAAGCTGATATTGCCATTTTTTCCCCCCTCAGATGCTGCTACACACTTCCAAGAAACCTGCCAGAATTTGAAATCCAGGAACTTCAGTTGCAAGGTTGGAAAGCTGTGACAGAGCAGGGCAGCGCAACAGACAATCAGAGCAGGATCACCTGAGTGTAAGCATCACAGAAATGAACACGACAAATTATTTGGCATATAAAAAGACTAATACAGAACTAATACCTTCCTGTCATTAAAAATAAACCATTCAAATGCTTGCCTGAATCTCTTCGGTGGCTGCATACCTACTCCCAGGTTATGCTTGTTTGTTTTTATAGCATGCTACCATAATGTGCAGATTATTAGATAAATTACGCTCAGCTTCATAATTGCATACGCCGTTGTTTGTACTCAGGCAGGTCTGAACCAACGTTGTCTAAAATAAACCTCCCATTGTCTAAAATAAACCAAGTAGGAAACTTGGTCCACACATCACCCTTTCGGGATTCAGTTCTGTCAATGCCACCACTAACTGGAGCGCTTTCTCAGCAGCCTCCCCTGTGGCACGACCCGACGCTGTCAGGCCAAACCGCAGCATCTTCAGGGGCATTTTCATCCAGGACAGCAAACTTCATCACCAGATTTTTTTTTGTGAGTGGTGCAGAAGAAAGCAGAAATTCTAGGGGAGCGCTGCCCAGATGCTACAAACACTTCCAGAAAAAAGGAAAGCAGAAAGGGAGGATCCTCATTTATTTTTCTTTTAACAAACCCTGAGAAAAAGTGGAGACATAAGCAGCTTTCAGTGTGTCTTGGTTAAAGCAAAGTAAGCGAAGAGGTGAGAAGGAGCTTCTCACCACACAATATCAGGAAGTTTAAATAAGGAAAAAAATGCTACCAAAGGCTTGAGAGATCTTTAGAGCATCACACCGATTTAAATTCTCGTGACTTTATTCAGCGACGGGATTCATCTGTTAAAGGACTGACTTCTCAAAGAAGGCCATTTTGTTTCATATTTATTTGAAAGAATAGAAGACACAACTAGGTCAGAATGAAATCCTGTGACTGTATACTGTACACACACAGCTTTGAAAATATGTTAACACATGCTCTTTATAATTTAAAAAATACTGAAACAATTGCACATTGTTGGCTGCTGTCTTATGTTTAGAAATTAATTTTAAGAACAGTCTAAAACGCTCTTTACAGGTATACCAATTCAAAGTCTATTTACTCTTTCAATAATCCAGTAAAAAGAAAAAAAATCACATAGGGAAAAAACTTATTGAACTTATCTAGTAATTTTAACCATGGTTTTGAACATCTCGCTGTGTAACACAGGAATACAGACTTTTGAATAAAATATACAAAGTTGTGTTTAAAAAACTGCACGTAAG